TTAACGTGTTTGTGAAGTCCAGTGTCGGCTTTTTATATGTTTTAAGAATTTCAACAACTAAAAAAATTCATAATTTTGAAATTTAAGGAAATGAGATCTCTCCTTTGTAGTGGTATTTAAAAAATTGACCATAGCTCTGATGATGGCTTTGTAAAGCCGAAAGCGCTCAGCTAGTAATTGCCTAAAATATACACACTTCAAAAATACTTTTTTGCATTTTCTTTCGACTTGAAAAATTATAATTGCCAGAATGATTTCCAATCTCCGATAGGAGTGGAACTTGAAGAAGAAAAATATACTAACACAAGTGCATAGAAACATAACTCAGGAAGCCTTTGAGTCTTTAAATCGATACCAACTTACTCGAAATGCAAAACATTTATACACCAACAAAACTGATTAGAGTAGCGAAAATATCAATTGTCTACTCCTTAGACAAGGAAAGAGAGGGGAAGTGTAATTGTATTGAATTGACTGATAAACCTAAACCGTCACCAGAAGGGTTGCCAGCTCATATTTTATTTCTTCGTAGATTGAGAATAATGGATGTATATCAACAGATTTTTTTTTATTTATGATTGAACACTGATGTAATGATCACTTTTTGAACATGATTTTATTATTACTTACATATTTTCTAGTAGATCAATATAGTGTTTCAGTAGATCTACTGAAAAATCAGTAGACCTGGCAACCCTGGAGAAACATAACGGTTACATCGAAATTGGACTCACTTTGCGAAGGTTTATTAAATGAGCGTTTTCTGTTCAACTCTTTTTTCCTTGTCTAAGGTTTACTCTGGAGCAGAAGCTATAAAAGACGGGAGAAATACAGAAAATATAATAATAGAAGTAGGAATTCGACAAAGTGACAACAAGTCGACTACACTTTTTAACATAGTACTGGACGGAGCTCCCCACACAGCAGAACAACTAGTTGAGCAACTAACATTAAAAGAAACGATAAACGTCATAAAATATCTAAAAAATAACAAGGCACCTGGCACAGATGGAATAACTGCAGAACTGATAAAGAATGGTGGACATGCGCTATGGAGGCGTATCCATACACTAATCGACCGCATATGGACACTAGAAGTCTTCCCAGAAGATTGGAAAATAGGAATCATACTTCCTATGTACAAAGGGGAAGACAAACGACTCTGCAAAAATTATAGGGGCATAACAGTTTTACACGCTGTTAGAGGACAGAATTAGCAATACTCAATTTGGGTTTATGAGTGGCTTGGGTACAAGAGAAGCCTTGTTTAGTATACAGGTGCTAGTACAGAGATATAAATCAAAATGTGTACATTTGTGCAATCGATTTTGAAAAAGCTTTTTGACAAAGTCCGACATAAATATTGGAAACAGCTGGATTGGACGATAAAGATCTACAAATAATTACAAATCTATACTGGCATCAAGTGGCAAGAATAAAGGTTGAACAAGAACTGTCGGATGAAATAAATATAAAAAGAGGAGTGAGACAAGGCTGTATATTGTCGCCTTTACTTTTTAACTTATATTCGGAGGAAATATTTAAGGAAGCCTTAATGGAGACAACCGAAGGTATTATTGTGAATGGAGTAACCGTCAACAATATTAGATATGTCGACGATACCTTAGTCCTTGCCAATTGCGGAGAAGACCTTCAAAATCTAATGAACAAAATAAAACAGACTTGTGATCAGTATGGATTAAAACTCAACGTTAAGAAAACTAAATATATGATAGTTAGCAAACAAAATTATATACAGGATGACGGTATAAAAGTCGGAGATGCCACACTGGACATAGTAGAAAAACTCGTGTATCTCGGCAGTAATATCAATGAGAGCTGGGATCCAACCGCAGAAATTAAAAGCCGAATAGAACCAGCCCGAGCTGCCTTTGTAAAAATGAGATACTTTGCAGTCACAATCTTAGCATTGACCTTAGAGTTCGTATGACATCTTGCTACATCTTTCCTGTCCTGCTGTATGGAGTGGAAGCGTGGACTCTAACTGAGGCTATGCTTAAACGCTTGACAGCCTTTGAGATGTGGGTATACAGACGACTACTGAAAATAAGCTGGGTTGACAGAGTTAGAAATGAGGAGGTCCTTCGACGGCTGAGCCAAACAACACAACTGGTCAATATAATAAAGAAACGCAAGCTGGAATACTTCGGTTACATTATGAGACACCCTGAAAAAATATGATCTTTTACATCTGATCATTCAGGGAAAGATCCAAGGTAATCGTGGTCCTGCTAGACGAAGAACATCATGGCTGAAAAATCTAAGGCAATGGTATGGAAAATCAACTACATCGTTATTTAGAGCTGCTGTCAATAAAGTCACGATAGCAAATATGGTAGCCAACATGATATCCAACGATCGATAACGGTCATGGAACTAGAAGAACAGTTTTAAATGTCGTCTACAAGATATCAGGAATTATATACAGCCGATACAGGAATACCAATGTGGCTTCAAACCAAAGAGGTCAACTATAGACCAAATACATATGTTAAGAGGTATACATGAAAAATGTGTTGAGTATAACATATATACCTTTTTACAACTTGTATATCGATTTCAAACAGGCGTTTGATGGAGTAGATCCACAAAAGATGTTAAAGCAACTATCTATGTTAGGGATACCCAATAAGTTGGTTAAATGTATTGGATTGATGATCGATGAAATACTTTTGATCTTTATAGTGAAGGCCCATTTACAGACTTGCTGCATGTCGAAAAGGCAGTATAGACACCTATAGAACCAGTACTTTGAATATTTAGTATATTGTTTTAACAACTATGTACACTGTAGACCCCACTCTAGGCCTATACAAATGAGTGGACTTTAGTTCAAATTTAGTTTGGTAGGCAAGACTTCTTTGGTGGAAATGCATGTGGGTAATTTTTATTTTCACTTACCTGGAATTCACAAATAGTTGCTACTGGCATTGGAAATAAAAACACAACAAGTATAAATCTTTCGAAAAGATTTTTACTAATTTTTTATTGGACTTTTCACATTGTCAACAACGTTTACAATATTTGAAGTAAACAGATCTTACATGCATAGTCAACATATAAATACATCGCTGTACTTAATGTGAAATATAGAAAATATAAATAAAATAAGAGTGATCTCGTTCTAACCATAGGTACAATCCACATTTTTTGATAATGAACCTTTATAAATGTGGAAAAGTAAGTTTTCTCGATTTTACATACATACAATTCGAAAATTCTATAGAAATATGTTACATTTTTATCGACCCTACTTATTGAAACAATTTGTACCATTGCGGATACATTTTTACTATATTAAAAAAATTCAATGAAATGAATACAGTATTTATTGGATACAATCTTTTAGATTGTTGTAGTTTCATTGGAAAATCAGCATCCTAACACATAAATCCACCACTTATTTTTATTCAGATGCCTTTACCTTCATCATTATAGATTTCCACTTTTTTTTGCTGAAGAAGTCACATATTTGATGAAAATTTGTCATCCATAAATGATATAAGATATTTAATTTAGCAGGTATATTTAATTCAATACTAAAGCACACATATACCATTATTTGCTCCTTAATTTTCCATAAATACTGGTTGGCAAAATGTTAACTAATATGGCAGTGATCAAAATATAAGTCTGTCACTTTCTATGTGAGCAAAGGAATATCAATTGAACTATTGTTGAATAACGATAGATGACAATAATTTCACTTCTGATAGAATAGGCAGCTCAAAATAGTGTATTGAATATAGACCATTTAGTCCAATAAGCTTCATATCATGGTGTGTTTTTTAAGCAAATGTTCTTCCCCTTCTAATGTAGAAATCATTATCTAGAATGATTTCTACATAATTATAGCCCAAAGTAATTTCATCTCCTTACTGTAGAAAGTAATGGTTAGTTTACTGTTCAGTAAGTTTTTGTATAGGACACTAATATCTGCAATGAAACACAAATTTTTCTCAAAGAATTTCAATACAAAAACAAACATATCTAAGAAAAAATTCTATACATCTTGAACCAAAGAGGTCTCTCATAATATGTTTACTAAACACACAAACTACTCTGAAATAAGTATGTGTTTGATAATGTTTAATAGATCTATAAAAAATCAATGAACTACCAACTGATTTTAGTAATTATGTTACATTTAATGATAATAGAGAGACAGATAGTTGAGTTACTGGAATTTTTGCTTTAAAAATAATGAACTCACTTAAGTTCACAAGCAAAATAGAATAAAAACAAAAATCAGAATATGGCTCTTGCTTTAAAATGGAAAAATGTCTACAAAGGAAAACATTATAGTTACATATACAATTAAATTAAGTAAGGTAACATGATAGAACTACATATTTTAAAATAAATGTGAAAATATGTTTATATAGTGTTTAAAATCAAATTAGTAACATTCAAATGGTACTAAGCACTTGAAAACTAACAATTATGTTGTAAATAATAGCAAAATAGAAGAAATAGTGATAAATGGGACACAATGTTAATGAAAATGAATTGAAAAATTATATAGGTAACTGAAAAGTAGTTTTAAGATAATAACATGTTAAGAAATTGCAAAACATGTATTTAAGGACTTTAAAAATATCTCTTTTTTGTTTATTGTTTGTTTTATGTAGTACATGATACTTTGACAAATCAATTATGTATAAATACTGTAATAATAGGTTTTTATGACAATAAATACATTAAACCGTTCTAATCAAGGAGCTCCCAAATCCAGTTCATTTATCAGTCCAACATAAGGACCTAGTTAAAAGTTGGTACAAACCTTAGAACATTCAAAAATGAAGAATGTATCTGTTCCAAAAATATATTTGAGAAATACAAAGAAGAATCTGCTCTATTGCTCTAATACATCTCACTCCGTACCCTAACAATTGCTAAATAGGATCAATATATTTATTGTCAATTCAAGAAATTCCCTTCATCTTACAAACTCATTAGAAATGTTCATATTTGAGAAATTACGCCTCAGATTCTCCTGGTGTATTTTCTTCTTCCAATATTGGTACAATGAGATTATCCTTGGACATCAGATTGTATTTCGTTACAAATTGTGTAAACCGTTTACATAAACAAGTCTCTGTTTCAAATTCATCAAATATTGATCTATGATGGTAATATGCATGGGAAAAAATTCGATACACTCTTCTACACACTGATCCTAGCTTTGCTACAGATGATTCCTTAATACTAACTCTGAAACAGAAAGAAAATATAATTTTTTATACCCAACTATAATCCATAAAGAAAATGCAAATAAAATGATTGTATAAACATCCATCATTCATTTGTTATAAAGCAATTTTTGTATAAAGAGTAAAGGTAAGAAATATCAATTAAAAATGACTTTAAAAGTGAAAATCCAGAAAAATATACATGAAATGATTATTTAATAACAAAAAAAAAAAAAGAAAAACTGGAGACACAATAAGGAAACAACTGCACAGTAGTTATACAGAGACAGTAAGGGAAGCATGAATTAGGTCATAAGACGTTAGCAGAAGCTGAAATACCAACTTTCCAAAAAAAAAATCATAACAGCAGTAAAATGTACAGTAATCTGAGAATTTTATTGAAATATCTTAATGATCAACTTACCGACTTGGAAAATACTTATTGCTATTTAATAAGCAAGCTGCTCCATCTAAAGTATGCCTTGTATAATCAATTGCTGGGCACTCTTTTGGAGTTTTATGTGCTGCACAAAGGAAGATCCACTGTTCAGTGGCTGTCATTTGTGTACAAGTTTCTGGATGGCATTCGCCTTGCAGTCTAACCGCTAATCCATTCAGCTCCATGCAGAATTGCCTGCAAATGTAAATATATAAATAAAACTAACACTGATGGCTTCTCTGGTTACCTTAAATGCTCATATTTCCATACTCCTTCATCTTGCGATTCGGGCATTTTTAATATTAGATCTATGTTATTCGGGTCACGACGTATAAGTTGCTGAATGTATTGTTGCACTGCGAGGGTGCTATCCATATCCTCAAAAGGTTCATCTGGCCAATGACTGAAATCCTACAAAGACGTTTCACATTAAATTGAGGTAAGATTAACGGTACATTAGAGATGAAAAACACGGAAAGTTTGTGAATTACTTAATTTTTCTTAATTGATTACCTTCGCTTTGGTTCCTGGTCTATTTCTTCGCAAAATTGTGGATCCATCAGCCATCTTCATCTTTGACATATAAATAAATTATTGACAGATTTCACTTACGTTCTGATCACTCATGTGTGTACGTCTTGTCAAAACAGTGCTAACAACTGCGTCCGTTCAAAAATTTTTTATGGGTACGAAATTTGTATTCCATTTATTTTTTAACAAATAATAATATTTATATAAAAATGTAACCATATATAATTTATTTATTTCGTAGATTGTAAATACCATAACAATTGTTTATTATTGTGTACCATAACCTTTTTAGCAAATCGGCCAGGAATGAACAATTTTATAAATTGCCACATGAAACAGAAGAAGTGAACTCAATGTCAACGTCTGCAAATTAGGTTAGGTTTTTAAAAATGATTAAATGTTTATAAAATGAATAAAATAAATCGTACACAAATATTAAAATTATATAAAGAATTATTAAGATATAGCGAAGAACTTAAATTTACAGACAAAGAATATTTCCGCAAGAGAATAAAAAAGGAATTTCAACAAAATAAAGATCTTGTTGATGAAAGCCAAATCAGCCTTAACTACAAGGTAAGTTTGATTTATTATATGCTATGAAATCTTTCAGTTCTTTTTTCATTGTAGAAAGGTGTTACATTACTTCTAAAACAAGCAGTACAATGATTTTATGCAGATACCATACTAGGGTGCAATTACTTTTAAGATTTAAACACACATTAGATTGTTCCAAAGTGCCCCCTTTGCTAGATAAGGACATAGAAGAGATGCATGTACGAGGAAGTGGACCTGGTGGTCAAAAAATAAACAAAACTGCCAATTGTGTAGTAATGAAGCATATACCAACTGGTAATATATTTATGAGTCAATTTCAGATTTTGTTGAAAACAGAAATATTAAAGCTGTAGTTAAAATTAAGTCAAATAATTTGATTTTTTATGAATATGATCACTAAATAGCTGAAAATAGTGTTAAAATGTTTTAGGAATTGTTGTAAAATGTCAAGAAACCAGAGAATTGCACAAAAATCGAGTAATAGCTCGCAGCCTTCTTCAAACAAAGCTAGATAACTTTATAAATCGAGAAAACAGTTTAGAAGCCCAAATGAAAGTCCGTAATGAAAAGAAAAGTCTTGTGAGAGACCAGAAAAGAGAAAAACTACAGAAATTAAAGGAAGCTTGGAAGAATCGAGAGTGTAGCAGTCTAGATCAAAAAGTGTAACAATTAATAAAATACTTTCAGTTATATATGTTTTTATTATTAGAAAACAACATGGAGCACAAAGTTAAGTTAGTAGAGATGTGCTATTTAGTGAACTTTCTATCCAAACAAAAAATGGAACATTAAAACTATGAAAAAACAAAAAAAGTGTTTAGTGGTTTTATTTTCCAATAAATCAATATATAAGCTTCTACTACAGTTAATAAAATTATTTACAATATGTAAAATTGCACAAATTCTTCACCAATCCATTTTGGATCCATCGTAACAATAAAACTGGCCGTTATGGTCTTCATTTAAGGTCTTTAACAATTCAATGATACCAGAAACACTCGTATCTACATCCAGAGGGGCATTTGTGCCTCCCATGCTAGTTTTAACCCAGCCGGGATGGATAGAACTCACCAAAATTCCATCGTTTTTAAAATCTACACTCAGAGACTTTGTTATCATATTCAAAGCAACCTAAAACAATTAAAATGAGGTTGGTTATCTATCTTTCAACAGACTTTATATATTCCTTTATTGTTTTCTATGATAATTAAAGACAAAGTATACCTACCTTTGAACATCTGTACGGATACAATCCTCCTTGGTTGTTAAGAGACAAAGATCCCAAGTATGAGCTCATATTTATCACTGCTGATTTAGAAATTCCTATAGGTTTATCTGCATTCCTAGTTGCAGCTTTTTTTAATAAGGGCAACAATGTCTGCAATGGTCAATATAAACATTAATATAGATTAAATGTTTGTACACCATACAAAAATTCACATTTCAGCACAAAAATTGATACCCAATTTATAGTCAAACATCTTTCTAATAAAAAAACAGCTGTAATAACTAAGAAATTGCTGTGGAAATTTAGAAAATAACACTTTTTTCTAGTAAAAAACAGCTGTGATGCCTAAAAAATGTTATGAAACTTTGGAAAAGAAAATTTTTGAGGTTTTTAATACCTTGGTTAGCATTAAAGGCCCTACAGAATTGATTAGAAAGGTTTCCATCATTTGTTCAGGTTTTACGAAATTGATCCTTGTAGATTTTGGAGAATATCCCGCGTTATTTACCAAAACATTCAGCCCATCGTCTTGAACAATATCCTCTACCTTCTTGGCAAAATCCTCAAAGGTTTCTGGTTTGTCCACTTCTGCAAAAACAAAAATGTAAAATAACAGCTCAGGAAGTATATCATGCCGATAATTCAAGAACAATAATGAAAATCTAGGATTATTCACAAAGACAATGAACATTATGTGACAAATTAGATGGAGAAAAATCTTTTAAGACGTTAAATAGATATGTTTTTGTTTAATGTATAAAAATATAGGAATATATCTTACCCAGTTGCAAAATGTGTACATTTTTGTTTTCTGCTGCTATTTGTTTGAGTTCCTAAAAGAAATATAATCAGTTTGTTTAAATATAGGTATAAAATATACCATAAAAATTAGTTCTGGTGCAAAAACTACATTGTCCTTTAAATTTAATCATTAAATGCCAATTTCGAAAAGATAAGATGGACAAAACAATGAATACCTTTCATAAACAGTGAGATACAGGTAAATTTTATTTACCTGTAAATTTAGTTTGTTTCCTACATTTAATTCCTAGGATAAGTTTCCGATAGAACATTTTTAAGTTTTATAATAATATAATTTAAAAATAAAAACGACGAAAACAAAGTTTTAAAAAAATAATATAATAATTTCGTAAAATTTGACGTTGCCTCGTGCTGCTAGTCACTACCAATTTCCTGAAAATTCCATGAAACTTTCAGCGTAATAATGATTTTCACATTTTCAGAAGTTTAATTCAAGGTTCTAGAATTGTATATGACTTGTAAAATTGAAAATCTAATCAATGTATTATCTCTGGTAGGGATATCTATAAATCATAGAGCATTCAGCAAATAGAAGAAAGAACATTTCAAATAACGCAACAAAACACAAGTTCGCGCGGGCGCGTTAAAGTTAGCCTTGTAGGTGTGTTGTGGCTACATTATTTAATAAATTGAGTATAACGTGTCAGAACTTTGTTTTCTGTTACCGGGTGTTAGTGTAGATTATCAAAATGGCACCTGTTGGTAAGTAAATAGGAAGTAGATACTCACTTTTGCGTTATCCACGTTTCTGCATGTTACCATGAGACATTTTGGGGATATTTTATCTTTCACTAAATGTTGCACAAGGCCTAAGCCTATGCCTCTATTACAACCTGTTATAACAATGGAATTCATTAATATTTAAGACTTTCGGCAGTTCACGATATACATAACTTCATAATCTAATGAAATAATCAAACTCAAGGCCGTTCAGCTAATATCAAAAGATCACTGTAGCGGTACTTTAGTCAAATGGCGGCAGTTTTTTGTTTTCGTCATGTCAGTTTTCGGGGAGTAGTTAAGTTATGGGCTAGTGACACCATTGCAGGCTATCCAAAACTGCAAGCAAATTTTGCAAGAAAATTCAGCACATCAAAATGCAGATGTAAGTAAAAATAACTTTTTCGGCACTTCCAATGACTTGCTATTTTTTCTCAATGACGTAACTACATAACCTTGCTTTTCCTATGTTTTTGAGAGGTATCAAACCAACCGCGTAAAATACATTTTTTAGTTACTAATCATCTGGTTACTCAATTATCTCTGAAGTAATCATTTTTAAGAATACAGAAAACGACGTCTGTTATTTTCAATATTATATGACACTGACTGTGTCAACCTATAAATGAATTTTTAGATTCCCGATAGAAAAAGTATTTTACGAAATTTATAGTTTCGTTATTCCATGATGCGATGTCCTTTTAAAAGATCCTTTTGTGAATTTTGTCCCAAAAAAAGTACCGTGAAGAAAAATGTTGAACAAATACGATGTTCTGAAGTTTGCCGTAAGATTTTCTTACACTCATTAATAATCTCATGATAATTGCTTTATTATGATCGAATCTGTTATTTAAATACGATCGCAACAGATGATAGAGATGTCTTGTTTCTTTAAAGATGACATCTGTTCCGAATTTTACAGCTTTTTAATTCTTTCTAATATCTACATGAAAATGTTTTAGAAAAGTTTGGTTTTGTGTCTAGAATGAGATATAAAAGATAGCAAGCTCCGATCTGTAGTGATGTTTTTAAGTTTTTTGGTAGTCGTGATACATATTTCTTCTCATATATTTCTTTTGATTATAAGTTATAGGTTCTTGTATTTAGATTTTTCCTTATTTGTCACAAATAGTTTCTTTTTTAACAATATGTACAGGCCTTTATGAATGCAATATGTACTTATTCACCAGTTTTAGTCCAAATTTCGAAAATAACTAATTTATTGATCATATTAGTCATATTTTATGTCTCAATTCCATCTTATTGATCTTACAAAGCATTTCAGAAGATCTACATTGATATTATGACTTACACAGATTTTTTTATATTGGCAAAATGAATTTTCAGCCATTTCTGAGATATATTTGATGGCCTGGATTTCAATTTCTGTGTATTATCTTCAATAGTACTTATTCTTTCTATGAATTTCACATTTGTTTGTAAAAAGCCAGGGTTTTCGTAAAACTATATCATTCATATACAAAATTAATTTTAGGCCATGTAGATACATATATTTTATGACCTGAATTTTAATTTCTGTGTATTATCTTTACTAGTATTTATTCTTTCTATTAATTTCACACTTGTTTGTAAAAATCCAGGGTTTTTGTAAAACTATGTCATTTATATATATTGTAGATGTGTAGACTGTTGAAAAACTCATGAGTGACACTCATGGGCAAACAGCAAAATGAATTTTAGGCCAATTCCAAGTTATATTTCACTGTCTAGATTTCAATTTCTGTGTACTAACTTCACTAGCATTTATTCTTTTCGCTAATTCTATGTTTGCCTTCAAAAAAGCAGCGTTTTGTAAAAGTATGTCATTCAAATAGGTAATAGATTTGTAGACTGTTGAAAAAGTCATGGTAAAGACTTGCAAAGATCGTTTTATGTTGGTAAAATTAATTTTGTGGTTTTTCTGAATTATATTTTGCTGCCTGGATTTCAATTTCTGTGTACTACCTTCCCTGGTACTTACTCGTTCTAGTAATTTCACATTTGTCTTAAAAAATGCAGCTTTTTTATAAAAATGTCATTTCAGTTAATAGTAGATTTGTAGACTGTTGTAAAAAGTCATAAGGCTATTTAGCAACCTCTGTGTATCAAACACTACTGACATATTTTGTGTGTAACCTTCAATAAATGCCTTGTTCCTTTAATGTGTTACTGTAAGTTACAAGAAAGAAAAAGACATTGATCACAAAATTTATAGGCTTTATTTAAAAAAATCTTGAAGAATAAGACAAGAAATGGTGGTAACACTTTATAAATATTATTCATACTTACTCTGTTATATGTATGTGAAAGCTGTGAAATAGAGAGAGAATGAAGGTATAATGCAAGAACTTGGTCAGTCTGGAATTATAAGAATACAGAATATTAATAAAGCAAAATCAGTCTGTTTTTACCAGAAAAAATCTTGTTTCTAGCAAGATTCAACCATGTGAACAAAAACCAGACATTTATTTCTACTAAAATGATCTTAAAATGTGTTCTTAGCAATTTGTATTGAAAGTCCCTGACCTACTTTTGACATATCCACTGATTTGAGATAATGGACATTTTTTTTATAGAGTTAAAAATCTACAAGATTAGATATATTTGAGTCTTATTTGGAGGTCATATTAATATCTTGTTTCATGTTTGCGTTTTTAAATAATCCTCATTCCTGTCAGTTATTTGTGCCTTTTGCCACTATCATAGTTTTTCTCCCATGAGATAGTGATTTTACAGTTTGTCCAGCTATAAGTTCCTACATTAATTCATGTTTTTCTTTACATAGCAACTAAGAACTATGTAATTAATTACTGTTGTGAATTATACTACTCAAAAAGTCCTTATTTGATGTAAACTATGTTTACAAGGGTTGTCAATTTTTTAAGCTTGACATTAACATATATTTATAACTCATCATATCTTTGTATAATCTTTCTACTTGTTCTTAAAGCTTCCTGTATATATGTGTGAAGCAGCACTGTTTCCAGAATGACTTTTCATTATTGTTAGGCCAAGCTGTAGATTTTTTTTTATTTCAAAATCTAACAGCAAACCACCTTTACTATCTTTTGAAAAATGGTTTATAGACCATAAAAAAACCAAAATCAGTGTGTAAATTAGCGTTTCCCCAAATTCTTTGTGGAGAAATCTAAAAAGATTATGATTTTTCGTTTTTTTCCTGTAGTGAAAAATCTTAATATAATAGTAATTTAAAGATAAAATAGAAGAATGGGAAAAATTTATACAACAGCTGTTCCGAGATGAAAGAATAGACATTACAATAAATAATGTTACTGAAAGCCCACCAATTCTAAAAGTCGAAGTGGAATATGCCATTAAACAATTAAAGACCAACAAAAGCCCTGGACCTGATGAAGTTTATCCTGAAATACTTAAATTGATCGAAAGTAATAACATTGATTTGTTAATAATTTTGTTTAATACAATCTACGATACTGGGGAAATACCAGAGGAATGGTTAGAATCTATTTTTATTCCCATTCCAAAACAAGCTAACTCCAGGCGATGCGCAGATTTTAGACTAATAAGTCTTATGAGCCAAGTGCTTAAAATTCTATTAAAAATACTTCACAATAGGGTATACAAAAGGTGTGAAAAAGAAGTTGGATACGATCAATTTGGATTCAGAGCCGGAATGGGGACCAGAGAGGCCTTGTTTTCATTACAAGTACTGCTGCAGAAGTGTTACGACCAACAAAAGAATGTCTTTCTATGTTTTGTGGACTTTGAAAAGGCATTTGATCGCGTAAACCATAATAAAATGTTAAATTCCTTGCAGAGCATCAACTTGGATAGTAAAGATCTCCGATTAATTAAGAACTTATATTGGAGGCAGAGTGCCAAGATTAGGATCGACGATCATACATCTAGAAATATTAGTATAAATAAAGGAGTAAGGCGAGGATGCATACTATCCCCTATACTGTTCAATCTTTACTCGGAACTACTATTCAAGCAAGCCTTGGAAAACCTTTCCACAGGAATAAAAATTAATGGAGAACCAATATCTAGCATAAGATATGCAGATGACACTGTCCTACTGGCTGATACAGACACAAACTTACAGAGGGTTATAGACCACCTTAAGGATGCTTGTCGAGAGTTTGGAATGAAGATCAACGAAAAAAAAAAACAAAAGTAATGGTGATCCAAAGAAAACAGAATATCCCCTTACCTATAAAAATAAATGGGAATATTTTAGAACAGGTAAACCAATACAAATACCTTGGCTGTTGGATTAATTGCAAGCTGGACCCAGAACAAGAAATTAAAGCGAGAATTGCTCAAGCTAAGGATAGTTTCTTTAAGATGCGCGTTTTATTCTGCGATACACATATAAATATTAAATTGAGATTAAAACTTGTGAAATGTTTTATCTGGTCTGTTCTTCTCTACGGAGCCGAAACGTGGACTTTAAAAATAAAGAGCCTGAATAGAATCGAGGCATTTGAAATGTGGGTGTACTGTAGAATTTTAAAAATTCCTTGGACAGCACGAAAAACAAATGAAGAAGTACTAGCTAGACTCAATTTAGAAAAAGAACTATTGAGAACAGTCAAAAGAAGAAAAACCAGTTATTTAGGGCATTTGTTGCGCAACAAGAAATACTACATCCCTCAGTTGATAATAAAAGGCAAAATAGAAGGAAAGCGAGGAATTGGAAGAAAAAAATTGTCCTGGTTACGTAATATCAGAAACTGGACAGGACTTGGATTTGAGGAACTCTTAAGAGCAGCTGAAGATAGACAAACGTTTGCCACCATAACCGCTAACCTCCATTGGTGGAGACGGCACTTGAAGAAGAAGAATTTAATCGCAATACTGGCATTTTTATTTTTGTAGAGAATTAAAAAACAAACAATTGTTTTTATATAAAACATGGGTGCAGTTTTCTGCAGAGGAAATTCCAGTAAAATCTCCCATTTTTCGAAAAATTCACAACTTAAAGATTGAAGACTAATTCTCTCGATAAAGTTTTTGTATGTTATTTAAACAAGCGTAAGGTGAACTTTGTCTGAGGAATAGTTTTTCAAAATCTTACATTGAATATTTTGCACTGATATTTTGAATGGCTCAGCATATTAAGTGAGGTTATCCAATTTTAATTTAGAGAACTGATTTTAAAATTCAAAATTTATCCTCTAACTTATATATTATTAAATTATTTAACTATGGTAAATAATGTAAAAAATGTTTCCTAATGTTGCTGTGAATGCGCTATGTGTACAGTGTGTTTCTTGGGGTAGGTGTTCACTTGCATCAAATAGTATAGTTTTGCAATATCATCAATTTTGAATGAATTATTACATTGTAAAGATGTATATTGTTATTTGAAGGCTAAAACAGGATTAATTTTGCTCTATAAACTGAGCGGTTTTCTCAGTGGAAGTTTGTGTACAGATGAGATATTCGG